GAAGGGGTAGGCTTGGAGCAGCAAGGGGTGGGCTTGGAGCAGCAAGGGGATGGGTTTGGAGCACCGGGGGGATGGATTTGGAGCACCAAGGGGCGTGAGCTTCCCGGTGAGGAGCGGGGTGTGCCTGCATGGAAGCTCTCCCAGCCTGGAATGTGCCGGGAGGCACCGAGGGCTGCGGTGCCGGCGCGGGGGGGAGGGAGAGCTCCAGCCCCTCCGGGAACTGGATGCGACTGGTGTTGGGCCCCAGTGTAACACTGGTGCCTTTCATGGCTCTGCTCCCCCTGCTCGGGCACGGTGAGGAGCAGCCTGTGTGCCCAGGCTGCTTTGTTAGGTGCAAGTTGTGATGTGTCGGCTCTGTCTAGCGTGTGCCTGGGCTCTGCGGGTCATCCCAGCCCTGCCTGCCTTTGGCATCTAATTGGGGAAGGAGTTGGAGCTCCCCTGGGGTGCTCAGTGGGGTGACAGTGTCCCCAAAGTCTCTGGCCGGTGGCACTGGCTGGGGGTGGGATGACCTCTGGGCTCTGCTGGTTCTTTAAACCCTCAGTCACTTTTGTGGTCACATTTCTGTCAGGTTCACAAGCTCCTGGTGTGTATTGAGGTGGCTGTTGCTGGGGAACAGCCTCCTCAACCTGTCTCTAGACTGGAGGAGGTTTTTACTCCTCTGGATTGTTAGTGCTGGGAGGAAGGAAGCCTCGAGCCCCGTGGGCTCTGTGCTGGGGCTGTGGGCACTGTAGTGAGCCCCCAGCTGTATCCTGCCCAGCCTGCCAGTGCCCAACACAGCTTGGCACATGGCTGAACCTGCTAATCCCTCTCTCATTGCTGGGGAGGTTTGCCTCAAGCCACACACGTGTCCAGCTCGCAGTAAACCGAGTCTGTGCTAAGTGGCAGCTGTCACCACGCTCGGCGTGGAGGATAAACAGGGCCGTGATGGATGGCCTGGCAGGAGGCAGCCCTTGGCACGAGCATCTCCTTGGTGTTTACAGCTTAAACTGTCAGGGCAGCTCAGGCTGACAGTGAGAATCCTGCAGGAGAGCTCTGCTGCCTGGACGGAGCACGTGGGAGGTGCTGCCAAGCTAACCGTGTGTGCAGATCTCTGGGAGAGTGGCAGGAGTGTCTCAGGACCTCTGGGTTTGCTTTGGGCTCAGTGTGCTGCTGCTGCCCCAGAGGCAGAGCTCAGGTGCTCCAGCTGCACGGGCTGAGGCCTCTCCTCTGCTCCCTCCAGGCTGAGGCAGAAGTGGCCTCTCTGAATCGCCGCATCCAGCTGGTGGAGGAGGAGCTGGACCGAGCTCAGGAGCGACTTGCCACGGCCCTGCAGAAGCTGGAAGAGGCAGAGAAGGCAGCAGATGAAAGTGAGAGGTGAGCAGGGATTGCTGCTCACCTTCCATCAGACATCTCAGATAGGTTCCTGACCAAGGGAAATCAACCTCTTGGGCTTGCAGGAGCAGGGGAAGGAAATACCACATCAGGGCTGGATGTGGGAGTTGGTGCCCACTTATGCAGAGCAGCTAAGCAGTGCTGATGGCCTTGAGCCTCTTGGAGCCTGAGGAGTCAGGAGGTGCTGTGTGCTGTTGTGTCTCCAAGGGAGGAGAAACAAGTGGGTTCAAGGACAGTGTTGCCTTGTGGAGGTGTGTGCTGGTGGAGGAGATTCTTCCCACTGCCTGTGCCAGCATCCTCCCTGCTGGCAGGTGTCCCCTGACCTGTGATTCAGAGGGGAGTGGTGCAGTTCCAGCTGGCTGATGTGCTTCCTCGCTGCACACACCGTGGTGAGCAGCCTGGCCCAGCTGATGCCAAGTCTGGCTCTGTTCCGTGCAGGCCTCTTCCTGCATTCCAGACAGAGAAGTGCTTGATGTCCCTAAGACAGCCAGGCTTGTTCCTCTCACAGCACTTCCCTTGGCCCTGGAGTCCAGTGAGCTGCTGGAGCAGCACTCCAAGGAAGTTAATCCCAAGCAATTGAGGTTGTAATTCACATCAGCCCAGCAGTGTCTGCCTTCCTGTGCCACCTCTGCACTTGGGAGGAGCTCATCAGGAAGCACAGTGGTTCCAGAGGAGCTGTAAATGCCCTGAAACTCATTGCACATGGCCTGTCCAGGATTGCTTTCACACACCTCCCCTCCCTGTGCTTCCGTTCGGGCAGAGGCATGAAAGTCATTGAAAACAGAGCTCTGAAGGATGAGGAGAAGATGGAGCTGCAGGAGATCCAGCTGAAAGAAGCCAAGCACATCGCAGAGGAGGCAGATAGGAAGTATGAGGAGGTGAGATCCTTGGCTGCTCTAGTGTGGCTTATCTGGGCCAGGAGAGGTGACTCCTCTTCCAGGAGCTCACAGGGCTTTCCTCAGCAAAGCTGAGCCTGGTTCCCAGCACAGCAGTATCAGTGGCTCTCAGCAGAGCTCCATCAGTGGCTCTCAGCAGAGCTCCATCTCTGCTTGGCCAGAAGCCTCTGGCAGCTCCAGAGGCTCCTGCAGGAATTCATTCCTTTCACAGCCTCCAAGTGCAAAATCATCCTCCTTCCTCTTGGCTTGCTCCCTGCCAGGTTGCTCGGAAACTGGTGATCATCGAAGGCGACCTGGAGCGCACTGAGGAGAGAGCTGAGCTCGCAGAGTCGTGAGTAATCCTGGCTTGGGCCTGGCACTGCCTCTGCATGGGAACTAACACAGCATGGCTCACCTCGTTACACAAGGCCTGAAGCACAGGGTGGGCTCAGAGGAAAGGGCTGGAAGCACTGTCCCCCTGGAGACAGGGTTGGCTCCACTCAGGACGTGGAGTTTCGCAGTGCCTTGGGTGGAGATGCTCTGCCCCGTGCATGGAGTGATGGAGGCTGAGTCCTCCTCCCTCAGCATTCACCAGCTTTGGTGTGCAGTCACTTTGGGGTGCAGTCACCACGTTTTCACATTGTCCAGGGCACAGCACTCATCCTACAGCAGCACCAGCCTCCTGGGCTGGGGCTGAAGTGACACATGGGGTGGCTGAGGGCAAAGCTGTTCTCTGCCTGTTCTCTGCCTCTCTAGGTGTCTGCAGTACCCACTGCAGCAAGCTGGACTCCCTCTGCTTGAGGCAGAGACACAAACCCTGGTGTTTGGGCTCCTTTCACGTGCCCAGATGCTTTAGCTGATCCTGAGGAGGTGGTCAGAGCCTCTCCCAGCTCTGGGCCTTGTCTAACCTGGTGGTGTGTAGCAGCAGCAGCAGCAGCTCTGTGCTTCCCTCCCAGATGTGCATGTTGTGACCATGACTTCTTTGTGTTTCCCCCCTTTTTTTTGCTCTGTGGTGTTGTGGTTTTGGTGCTCCTTTTGACCTTGCCCCCACCTGGCTTGTGCCATTGTGTGACCGTCACTAACAGTCATTGCCGGGAGCTGCGGGAGCAGATCCGAGTGATGGAGCAGAACTTGAAGGGTCTGTCTGTTGCCGAAGAAAAGGTACTAACCTTTCCCTTCTCAAACCATTAAACCAGAACTCCTGTGCTCTCCTGGCTATGCTCCTCCCCTCAGCTTCACTGCCTTTCTCTCTCCTGGATCACTCTGTCCTCTCTGCCCATCCGTGTCCCTGTCTGAGTGCTGGTGGCTGTCCATGTGTCTGTCCGAGCAGCTTCCCTCCTTACAGCACACTACACATCTCCTTGGAGACTCCAGGTGTGGCACAAACCTGTGCCCACATCTCCCTGCTCAGCCCCATGCCCTGTGCATGTGCTGGCAGAAGACCTAAAACGTGAGCTCGGAGCTGAGAGGGGAACTTGCTTTCTGCACAAGTGCCTCAAAGCAGGTTCCCATCCAGCCTGACCTCAGTCTCCTGAAGAACTTCCTGGTCTTCCCTGCACGTGGATTCACTTCTTGTCTCCTGTCTTTCCCTCCCACTTCTTCTTTTCCTGTTTCTCCCCCCCTTTCTTTACGAACCCCACAGTAAGTGTTCCGAGCTGGAGGAGGAGCTGAAGAATGTCACCAACAATCTCAAGTCTCTTGAGGCTCAGGCTGAGAAGGTAGGGCTGCCTGTCCCAGGGCCAGAAACATTGCTGTCGTGCTAGGAGGGTGTGTGAGCAGCAGAGCACCCACTGGGATGGAAGTGATGCAACGCAGCCTTAGGCAAGCCAGGAGGGCTGTGCTGGCTCTCCTGGGAGGGCTAACGGTGGAGGGCTCTGCAAGTTGGGGTGTGGGTTCCTGGCTGCCCTTCCCTGCCCTGCCCTGGGGCAGACTCATCAGCCAGGGTGTTCCAGTTGAGTTTTTCTGTGCCCAACTTTGTGTTCCATGCATGGTGTGGGATTTGCCTGACCCAGCCCTGCTGGGTATGGGAAAGGATGTGAAGTGCTCCCAGCTGGGAGGTTCTGTGTGCTGCAGTGAGGGGTTTAAGCCTCCCTGTGTGGCTGTGGGAAGTGCCTGGAGATGCTGAGAGCTGCTGATTCCTGCCTCCTTTTCCACAGTACTCTCAGAAAGAGGATAAATACGAAGAGGAGATCAAGATCCTGACTGATAAACTCAAGGAGGTGAGTGGCCAGGGCAGGATGGCCCTGCTGGGAGTGGTGGGCTCAGCCTGGCTGGGCTGGGAGACTCCAAGCCCTGAGGCTGATCCTTAGCTGCAGAGCTGTTCCCTGACTGGTCTGTGTGTGTGCAGGCAGAGACCCGCGCGGAGTTCGCCGAACGCTCTGTAGCCAAGCTGGAGAAGACCATTGATGACTTGGAAGGTACATTCTGGGGCTGGGGAACCAAGGGATATGTGGTGAGGAGCTAAGGAAGGTGTCTCCCAGGTAGCTGCAGAGTGGAGAGGCTGCTGTGCTCCTCAGGACTTGGAGCACGACCTGACTTGGCCTCCAAGAGCACCTGCTCTGAGATCAGTCCCTGGCTGTGCTGCATAGCTCTCGACTCCTGAGCCTGACACCTGGCCTTATCCAACTGATAGCTGGGGTGTTCTGGTGCTGGTGTCCCCTGTGCTCCAGCTTAACCCCAGCTGAGGAGTGGCATAGGAAAGAAACACCTGGACTTGCAGGAGTTGGTCACAGTAACATTCGCAGGTGCAGAAGGTCCTGCAGAGAGTGCTCTGCAGGTCAACCACAGGACTCAGTGAGGCTTGGAACAGCCTGTGAAGGCTCCTGGTTGAAGGTTAAAGCACCAGCAGCCCCATCCATGGAGAGTGAAGCCTGTGCCACGGGTGGGTTCCTTTCCTCCTCCCGTTCCTGGTCACACAAGAGCACTCCTGGGCTCAGCTATCACAGAGCCTTGCCCCAAGCCATGGAAGGAGAAGCTTCCAGCTGCCTCCCGTAGATCTGTGGCCAGATTCTTTTGTTGATTGCTGTGGCTAGAGTGGTGGTGCTGGTAAACCAAAGCCCTTGCAGGCCTCCTGCCTTGCCCACAGGTGTGTCTTTGTGGTCTTGGAGTGCCAGGTCTTGGAGATCCACAGCTGCATGGATCCCTGTCTCCTTGTCTGGAGTCACTCTGGAGCTTCGTTATCTAGAAATAGCAATGGTGTCAGCTGAGCTGTTCCAGAACCAGAGCCAAACAGCAATCTGAGCCACCTCATGATCCAGGATGAGCTTTTATTGGGATCTGCAAAACCTCCTCCAAATCCCTGTGTGCTTCGTGCTGATGGGGAGTTGGCTCTGGTCTCCAGCCTTGCTGCTGGAGTGACCTAGTTTATGACAACTGACAAAGTTCCTGAGCTCTGTGAGGCTGCTAACAGCATGACCAGCTGTAGTGCAGCCCAGGCAGGCAGAGCTGGAGGTGCCCGTGCCAGCTCTGCAGGGCTCAGCAGTGCAGGAGCAGAGCTCCCTCCTCTCCCCCGAGGCACTGAGCTGCCTGTCTGCTCCATTATCTGATGGAGAGCACTGGTGGGGCAGGTCTGTTCCACTCATCCTGCTCACTGCAGGGTGGGAATTCCCTCTGATGCCCAACTCTTACCTGCCTGACTTCTCCCAGTCCTTGCATTGAGACACAGGTGAGAACAAAGCACTGATCAGTGCCTTCCTTAGGGTGGAACAAGCTGCTCCCTAAGTGGAGATGGAGTTGCCCTTCCCTGCTGCTCCTCCT